CAGAGCCCACGGCAGATGGAGAGCCTGAGCCTTCTGTGATACATGAGCCAGCGCAAGAGGATGTGACTGAGCCCATCATTGCCCTGAATCAAGAGCCTTACGTTTTGATTGACCAGTTGTGTGTGCCGGCAACAACGTGTGACGCCGTGGGATTTCTCGTGGAGCACGAGGGCATGGAGGAAAGCCCCGTCCACATTCCTGCCGTTAAGGGTGAGTTGCAACTGGCCTCTGCAGTTTGGCCTTTTGAATTATTTCGAAGAAGATTTACCACTTTTTCTCCCGTCTCCGCTCGTTCCGTCCAGTTCAGAATCTCCCGCTGGTTCCATCCAGCTCGTATTCTCCAGAGTACCCACCCGGCCTCCCTCTCTCAGTACCTCTTCCAAAGCCAGCCAGTCCATCAGTCCCATCTGCGCTGGTTCCCATCAGCTCCTCAGCTCTTCCCTGGTTTATTCCACTCTACTCTGTGGATCCGCCTCTGGCCTTCTGGTCTGTAGCTCTGTCCTGGCAAGTGGATCTTCTAGCTCCACCTCAGGTGTCCGAGCCCTGGACTCCACACCTTGGCCCTCCGACTCTTCGGCTCCTCCTTGCCTCCACACTCCCTTGGCTCCACAGGGGTCCGTCAGTCCTTGGACTCTGCCGGGCTCCGTTGTCCCTTCGGCTCCTCCTTGCCTCCACACTCCCTCAGCTCCACGGGGGTCCGTCAGTCCTTGGACTCTGCCGGGCTCTACTGTCCCTTCGGCTCCGCCTTGCCTCCACACTCCCTCATTTCCACGGGGGTCAGTCAGTCCTTGGACTCTGCCGGGCTCTACTGTCCCTTCGGCTCCGCCTTGCCTCCACACTCCCTCAGCTCCACGGGGGTCCGTCAGTCCTTGGACTCTGCCGGGCTCCGTTGTCCCTTCGGCTCTGCCTTGCCTCCACACTCCCTCAGCTCCACGGGGGTCCGTCAGTCCTTGGACTCTGCCGGGCTCCGTTGTCCCTTCGGCTCTGCCTTGCCTCCACACTCCCTCAGCTCCACGGGGGTCCGTCAGTCCTTGGACTCTGCCGGGCTCCGTTGTCCCTTCGGCTCTGCCTTGCCTCCACACTCCCTCAGCTCCACGGGGGTCCGTCAGTCCTTGGACTCTGCCGGGCTCTACTGTCCCTTCGGCTCCTCCTTGCCTCCACACTCCCTCGGCTCCACAGGGGTCCATCAGTCCTTGGACTCTGCCGGGCTCCGTTGTCCCTTCGGTTCTGCCTTGCCTCCACACTCCCTCGGCTCCATCTGCCTTGCCTCCACACCCCCTCGGCTCCACGGGGGTCCGTCAGTCCTTGGACTCTGCCGGGCTCTGCTGTCCATTCAGCTCCTCCTTGCCTCCACACTCCCTCGGCTCCACAGGGGTCCATCAGTGCTTGGACTCTGCCGGGCTTCGTTGTCCCTTCGGCTCCGCCTTGCTTCCACACTCCCTCGGCTCCACGGGGGTCCGTCAGTCCTTGGACTCTGCCAGGCTCCGTTGTCCCTTCGGCTCCGCCTTGGTCAGTCATCATCCTGCCTCTTCCATGGTCTTCCACTCCTCATCTCTCCATCCCTTTTGCCTTGGTTGGGCTCCTCCTACCCTCCACCTTGGTTCTCTTTTGCATCAGCTCCACCTCAGCCCTTCAGTGTCACCCCAGCTCTCTTTGTCCAGTGTTACTTGTATATATTTCAGTTATGTTGTGCTCTCTCCTGCTAGCTCCTGTGTATTCCTGTTGGTTTTATTATTAAAGACTGTTTGTTGGATTTTCCTGCGTCGTGCACATTATACAGCACACAACACGTTACAATATTCTTAGGCTGTCTTTTTTAACATGGAATTACCTGACATGAACACTTACACTTCTCGCATCATTAATTATCGCAAGTGGAGATCTATTGAGCCCACTGATTTTTCAGATTTTATTGACTCTTCTTTATGTTCTGTTTCTCTGTCTGATGATCTGGATGATAAAGTCTCTGTGCTTAATTCTGTTCTCTTGTCTGGCCTGGACACGCTGGCTCCCTTGAAATCACGATCTGTTTCTTTTGTACGCTCCGCTCCTTGGTACAATGATGATCTGCGTGCTATGAAGGCAATGTGTCGTAAAATGGAGCGTAGATGGCGCATATCAGGTTTAACTGTTCATCACCAGGCCTGGAAAGACAGCTTACTTGAATATAAGGCTGAAATTGTATCAGCTAAATCTGTTTATTTTTCTCAGATAATTGTCAGCAATCAGAGAAACCCTAAACAACTGTTTCACTCAATCAACAAGCTGCTTAAAAATCACAGCCTCTCTAATGTTCCTGCTTCAACTCACTTTTCTAATATGTTTTTGGAGTTTTTCAGCACCAAAATTGATAATATACGTAACATATTATAACTACTCATACTTCTGCTGCCTCGTCCTTAAATATTTCTGCATTTTCTGGTATTTCTCTCTCTAACTTTGCTATTCATGACTCCCAGTCTCTCTGTAATATGGTTTTGAAAATGAAAGCTTCGACTTCCAGAGTTGATCCGATACCATCTTGTCTGTTCAAATCATGTCTTGATTCCCTTTGTCCTGTTGTTTTCAGAATTATCAATGACTCTCTGTGCACTGGTGTTGTGCCAGCAGCACTTAAAATTGCTGCTGTCACCCCTGTACCAAAAACTAACAACATAGACTTTGATAATCTGATTTGAGAGAATCCTTCTCTTGGGGGATTTCAACATCCACATGGATATAAAAGACTCCACAATAACAAAATACTTTTTGTCCATATTGGAGTGCTTCGAGTTAAACCAACTTGTGGACTGTCCTACACATGACAAAAGCCACACTTTAGACCTTGTGATTTCCAATGGTTCATTTGTGTCTCAGTTGTCAACCTCTGATTTAGGTCTGTCTGATCATCGGGCTGTCTTTTTTAACATGGAATTACCTGACATGAACACTTACACTTCTCGCATCATTAATTATCGCAAGTGGAGATCTATTGAGCCCACTGATTTTTCAGATTTTATTGACTCTTCTTTATGTTGTGTTTCTCTGTCTGATGATCTGGATGATAAAGTCTCTGTGCTGAATTCTGTTCTCTTGTCTGGCCTGGACACGCTGGCTCCCTTGAAATCACGATCTGTTTCTTTTGTACGCTCCGCTCCTTGGTACAATGATGATCTGCGTGCTATGAAGGCAATGTGTCGTAAAATGGAGCGTAGATGGCGCATATCAGGTTTAACTGTTCATCACCAGGCCTGGAAAGACAGCTTACTTGAATATAAGGCTGAAATTGTATCAGCTAAATCTGTTTATTTTTCTCAGATAATTGTCAGCAATCAGAGAAACCCTAAACAACTGTTTCACTCAATCAACAAGCTGCTTAAAAACCATAGCCTCTCTAATGTTCCTGCTTCAACTCAACTTTTCGTCCCATCTCTAAACTTCCATTCCTCGCCAAAATTTTAGAACAAACAGTGGCTTCTCAATTGCTTTCTCATCTTTCCTCTAATGACCTTTTTGAGCCACTTCAATCTGGATTCCGTAAACTCCACAGCACTGAAACAGCATTAGTTAAGGTCACTAATGACTTGTTAATGGCTTCTGATTCTGGTCGTCTATCTATACTGATTCTTCTTGATCTTAGTGCCGCTTTTGACACTATAGATCACTCTATTTTAATCACCCATTTAGAGACTGTCTTTGGAGTTTCTGATTCTGCATTGAAGTGGTTTAAGTCCTACCTTTCTAATCGCAAGCAGTTTGCTGTGATGGGTGGTTGCAGGTCTGAGGTAGGTGTGGTGCACTCTGGTGTTCCCCAGGGATCAGTTTTGGGCCCTTTACTTTTTAGTATTTACATTTTTCCATTTGGCCAACTTTTAAGAACTCTTGGTCTTAACTTTAACTTTTATGCCGATGACACTCAGATCTAGATACATTCAAAACCTTATGTCAATATGCCTGTGTCTTTTCTTTCTCAATGTTTTACTGAGATTAAAAAATGGATGTCTGAAAATTTTCTCTGTCTAAACAGTGACAAGACTGAAGTGATGCTTATTGGTTAACCTCACCATTTGCGCAAAGCAGAGTCCGTAATCTTAAGTGTGGATGGCTCTGCTTTACAGTTTCAAACGAAACTAAAAAATCTGGGGGTGATATTTGATGCCAACTTAACATTTGATTCGCATGTTCGTAATACAGTCAAAACATATTTTTTTCATCTCAGAAACATTGCCAAATTACGTCCCATGTTGACTGAAAAGTTAATCAACACTTTTGTTTTTTCGCGTATTGATTATTGTAATGCTTTGCTGGCTGGAGTTTCAAAAGCTACCCTAAGTAAATTACAGTTGGTACAAAATTCAGCTGCTAGAATTCTGACTAGGACCCGTGCAAGGGAGCACATCACACCTATCTTGGAAAAATTGCACTGGCTTCCTGTTAGTTTTCGTATTGATTTTAAAATTCTCATGCTCACTTATAAGGCCTTGAATAATTTGGCTCCTCAATATTTGTGCAAGCTTTTAACCCCCTACACCCCTACATGTGCTCTACGCTCTTCTGAAGCTGGTCTTTTAACTGTTCAAACAACTCGGCTAAAAACCATGGGTGATCGGGCTTTCTCTTCTTTGGCTTATAAATTGTGGAATTTCCTGCCCTCTGAGATTAGGAATGCAGAATCCCTTAGTGTTTTTAAATCGTCCCTTAAAACTTACTTTTTTAGGGTAGCTTTTATGTGATTACTTTGTCTTTTATTATATTGGCTTTGTATTGTTTGGTTAGTTCTTTACTGCCTGTACTGTTGTGTGTATCTTTTAACTTCATATTTTGATATGTATGTAAAGCGCTTTGAGATGCTACTTTTAAAGGTGCTATATAAAATAAAGTTTATTATTATTCATGTCTCTTAAAGTGAAGGGACTATTGGCACAGAAGCACAAGGATGGACTCGGTAAGCGGTGTGACCATTTCAAGTACAGGGTCTGTACAGTTCATGCCTGGAACATCTGGAGGAGTTCTCCTCTTTCATGTGGATGGATCTGAGTGAGACACCTGACTGGAATGACATTGAGGCCTGTATCAAATACCTGGGAGAAAAGGGGGTGCCAATTGATGATGCAAAGTGCTTTGATCGGGTCACCAACCTGAAGAAATTCACAGAAAGGTGTAACAGTGATGGAGATTTCAGTGATCTGCAAGCACACAAGGAGCGGACCAAATATTTTGAAAGGTCCAAAAGCACAGATTTTCATTCAGAGCTACTGAAGATTGCAGTTTTTCTGGTTACACTTTATTTCGATAGTCCACTTTAGACATTCTACTAACTATAAGTAACTTTGTAACTACATGTCAACTAATTCTCATTAATTTGCAACTACATGTCTACTAACTCTCAGAGTAGACTGTTAGGGTAGGTTTAGGGTTAGTAGAATAAGTTGACAAAGAAAGTGTTAGAAGATATTAAGCAGACAGTCTACTAATACTCTACTAACTGCTAGTTGACATGTAGTTGTAAAGTTACTTACTGTTAATAGAATGTCTAAAGTGGACTATCGAGCTCTCTGGAGCTCTCTGACCCGAAAATGACTGTCTACTGTTCCCATCCAACCTGACTGAGCTTGAGAGTATCTGTAGAGAGAAATGCCAGAAAAATCCTCAAACGGACACACTGATGAAACCAGACCTGCCAGGAAAGTCTCAAAATACACAAACACAAATCAAAGGTGACTGTTTGCAAATGCACACTCAAGAAACAACTTGCAAATATGCAACATTCAAAACTCCGTGTGCAGACTTGTATGTGTGTTTTGCATTTGTGAAATGCATTTCGACAATGCATATTTGGTTATGAAAATATTAATTGCTGTTTGAAAATATATACCTTTTTCTTTGTGAATGAAAATGATCATAATTTACGTTGAACAGCAATAAAAATATTGTCAAAAAAGTATATCAGCTCTGTTGTTGCTCATAAATAGCTGTAGCGATGTTGTCAAGCTGTTAAGAGCCTGGCTCCTTACCAGTACTCCAAAATTGTGTACATGAAATACTGATTAATGGGCTAGGGAGCTGATTGAGATGCACCCATGGTATGCATTAGACTGGACATGAGCTCCAGAATCAGAGAAATATTTAGCTTCAAAAGTAATGTTCACCCAAAGGAAAGGTAATCTCAAATGTTTCTCCTAGACATAAATGAGGCTACATGAACATCAAATGGAGACTTCTGCTTGTGTTTCCTTCTTCTCACATTTGCCTCCAGAGACAAAAACTCTAATACTCTCACATTGGTTTCCGTTAAAGTTTAGAAGAGATGTCAACAACACACACTGTGCTCAGATCTTCCTCCTTTGCTAGAGATTGTGGTGCTCTCACATGTGTTTAGAAGTGATCTCAACAACTTTACAAAGTGTGCACCAAGTCAAATGTCTCAGTATGAACTCAAACATTTCTTATTACCACCATATAATATGAATTAATAATCAAAATAGTTGAGGATTTGGTCATAAGCCATTCAGGTCCAGGGTTACTGTTGCTGATAAAGGCATTGGGTACATGACTATTTAAAGGATATTTTCAGTATTTACAATATTAGGACAAATGTAAAATGTAACATGTTTCACCTAAAATAAAATTGAAGACATCTAAAGACAAATAAGAGTCATATAAGACACATAAGAGAATCAGTCCTTATTATTCTGAGCTGAGAGAATATATATATATATATATATAGGCGTCTCGAAAGAGATTACAGCAAGACAATAAAGCGATGTTTCTCACACCACATTCTCATTTTGGACATTTGTGTTGGAACTTAAGGAACTTAAGGAGAGACATCCGAAGCACTGGTGATACTAAAATGAGAGATATATGAGAATCACAACTAAGTCTCCTGAGCTTAAGAAAAGACAACCACTGAGCAATACATTTCTCCTCTATCTATGTGCCTTTTTTTTTTTTTTACAACATTTGACCAGATGGTTCTATGGACTGCTTCCATTCAAACAGCAATCAGGGCCAAGGCACTGCAATCACAGCTTGTGACAGCATGTTTAACTTGCATTTTATTTGCATCCAAAATATGTGTCTTTGTAATGTAAATTTCTTCTGTAACACAGAGGAGGAGTCTGAGAATCTGACAGATATAAAGAGTGTTTGTGTCAGACTGAAGAACACGAATAACACAACAAACGGTGAGCTACGGTTTCATTCATTTATCTTACAGAACATTCGGACATTTATACAACTCTCAGAAAATAAACCGTCCAAATATGAATATATGAAGATTTTCTGTTATTTCCATCTAGATAAAACAGATCTCTGCTGTGATCCCCTGAAAAGAGACTGAGAAGATGGCAGTAAGTTCATCAATAGCTACATTTCTGACAGTTTCAGCTTCATTTCAGTGTGATGTTCATCTCTTTCTCTGTGTCTTGTGTAGATGTTGGGAGTTTTTGGCGGTTTTTCTTCCAGCTGTACTGATGAGTGAATGCAGTCAGGTTGAAAATGACTGTTCTGATATCTATAACCCAGGACAAACAGTCAATGGGACTTATGCCATCTATCCAGCAGGTAACGCTCCGGCCTGGGTTTACTGTCAGATGATCTCAGATGGGAATGAAGAAGATAAAGGAGGATGGACGGTACGACTTTAGATCATTAAACACACATCAGCACATTCATTCTGAATCATATATTCTCTATAAACCCATCACAGGTGATTCAGAGGAGAATGGACGGCAGTGTGAATTTCTATCGGCCGTGGAATCAGTACAAGAGAGGATTTGGGAATGTGGAGGGAGAATACTGGCTGGGTAAGATCTCACAGCGTGTGTGTGTTTGTGTGGATGTTCATGTCCAGTGTTTGGTTGAAGGTGTTCTTCATGTGTGTGTATGATCAGGGCTGGAGAACATGTACCAGCTGACACGTAAGAACAAGTACATGCTGAGAGTGGATCTGGAGGACTTTCAAGGAAATAAAGTGTTCGCTCTGTACTCGTCCTTCTCTGTGGATCCTGAAGCTGACGGCTATAAACTGCATGTTTCAGGATTCACTGATGGAGGAGCAGGTAGGACACTTTCATTTATACTCAGTGTTGAGTGTAATGCTTTACTAAAGAAATAATTGCTGTAATTTAATTACTTTTCTGTTGAAAAAGGAAAGGATTACTCTTATTTTTTATTTAACGTCTAATGTTATAATGTATGTTTTTTTTATGTAAACTCTTTGGTTAGTTCAAGGATAGTTGATGCAATTTTATATTATTTGTTTCAAAGAATTAAAAGCTAGAGTTTCTTGTATTGTTCAACTAGTCGTGGTTAATATGGGATTTACAAAGCAATTCAATACTTTTCAGAGAGAGTAATTAGTACAGTAATCTAATTACACTGTTGAAGTTGTCAGTAGTTAGTAATTAATTACATTTGAAAGTAACTTACCAAACACTGTTTATACACATGAAAAGTCATTTCCATTGAGTTATTGTTCTCAGTGATGCTCTTCCTCTCTGCAGGCGACTCTTTATCTGAGCATGATGGACAGAAGTTCACAACCTTAGACGAAGACCAAGACTCCGACGACAACAACAACTGTGCCAAACTCCGTCTCGGGGCATTTTGGTACAAACACTGCATGAAGACAAACCCCAATGGTATGTATATATGGGGAGAAGATAACACCCATACCGGCATTGGAAATGTATGGAAGACCTGGAAGGGTTATGATGTCGGTATGAAATCCATCTGTATGAAGATCAGATCTGTGCCATAGAAACATTGACGCAACAAAACAATCAAATTAATGTTTAAGGGTTTCCTCTTCTCTATTACCGGTGTAACTTTATAAATCATGTAGGAGTCACTCTTTCTCAAAAATGTATGACTGTTTGTAGTGGTTTTCCTATAACCAGGGTAGGGTGGTAAGTTGTTCTCGACTCAGATTAGAATAAACAATTTCCACAAAGCAATGTCTGTTTCTTGACTCGTTAATCTAATGGATAAACAACATTTACAAAACATGTGGAGCTATGGTAAGAACCATATGTCCCTGCCACCCGTACCTGTCCAATACAACCTCAAGGGAAGGTTAATATCGTGTGATGTGCACATCGCATCTCTAGTGTTGAAATAATCATTACATTTAAACTCCTACACCCTGACTCCATAATATCAATCCACAATTAAACAGCATCTACATAAAAGGAGCCATAAACGTCTTTGTACTGAAATTCCGATTCGGCTTTGGATCTCATCATCCAGCAATAAACAAATGCACTTTTATCAGGATAGGTTTAGATTATTCTTCCCAACTGGAGCTGAGAGGAGCTATACGATCCATGATGACAACAATGTCTCCCACCATTAAACTTATTTGTGGCTTTATCCATTTCTTCCTGCATGGCCCAATTGCTGTTGTATATCCTTCAAGATAAGTTGGGAAATAGCCTGGTCCTGTTGTGGATTTTTCTTGGGTGCGGCCAATGAAGTGGAGAAGCAGAGTTCCAGATGTCAAAAAATAAGACTTTATTTAACAAAGAAACAAAGCCGGGAAGACAGTCACAGCATTCCAAATCATTCCAAAGTCTCTGTTTGTCAGCTTATATTATATACCCTTTGTTCTCTCCAAATTTGGTCATTTTCTGTTTTTTCTTTGTTCCGGTTATTTTTTATTGGTTATAGATACCTGATTTGCCACAATTGTTTCCAACCCTTTTGGCCTTGTTTTCTAATGGTGGAATATGGTCCAATCAGCCATTTTTGTAAAAAAGCTTTTATTTCATTGGTTGGTAGTGGTCACATGAGGAGGTGTGCGTCAAATCCATCCACCTGCTCCTGATAATATTAGATTATTTCATGTTTACTTCTACTGTCTACTGAAAGGTCCATTGTCTAATGAAAAGACCATTATACGTGTTCCTGATAATATTAGATTATTTCAAGTTCACAGGTATACTGTCTAATGAAAGGTTTACTGTCTAATGAAAAGACTATTATTCGTTCTATGACATCCAGGGTTAACATAATTCAGCATATTAATTTATATATTGATTACTTTCATTTTCACATAATACTTCAATAAAATTACACAATAGTCCTTGGACAAAATAACAGGACACCTTTCTTCCTCAGGCATGGCAGCCTTTTTCCAGTTCTCGATCCAGCCTAAAGATGTCACTTTTTTTTATAGTAGCTCCTGCCTCCAATGCAGTAATCTCATCCGAAAATCTCTCTTGTTGATAATACTCCTTGACTTTGAGCATCCATATTACAGAGTTTTAAGACTTGCAAAATCAGAAAAGTAGCTTACAAACTGACTGGTAGGCGTCTCTGCAACCTGGCAGGCAAAGGTATGTGCAGTGTAGTCCACTTTGACCTCTTGGTCATCTAGAGGTACACACAGAAAAATAAGGGGCCAGAATTGTACCTTTTGGGGTACAAGAGCTTGTCCCTTAAAAGGACATATTTGTACCTTTTTTACCCCTAATAGGAACATATTAGTACCTTATTACTACTCTAAGGTACTAATATGTACCTATTAGGGGTAAAAAAAAAAAAAAAAGGCACAAATATGTCCTTTTAAGGGTACTGCTCCAGGGACACACTGTTGTACACCAAAATGTACACTTTTAAACCCCTTTTTTTCTGTGTGTACTAATAACTGCATACTGGACTTGGGCCACTCTTCTCAGTACCCCCTCACTGCAGAACACAAGATCCAGGGGGCATGGTTGGATCCACATCGGGGGGGTGGAGATGGGTGGGTTTAGGGGTGGATATGGGTTGGTTTAGGGATCAGGGGGTGGAGATGGGTAGGTTTAGGGGTGGATATGGGTGGGTTTAGGGATCAGGGGGTGGAGACGGGTAGGTTTAGGTATGTCAG